CCGACGCCTACACGCTCTCTGCCGCCACTGACCGGACGCAGGACCCCAGCGTCCGGTCACCATGTGACCAGCGTCCAGTCCATTCTGCGAGACCCTGTCTTTTCTGCATAGGGCGGCGGTGGCACCGTCGGACTATCCGCACTCTACGGGCGGACACTCCGCCGATGGAGTTTCTAACCCTTCTCGCCTCTGTTTCATCGCCAAGTTGATTCACATCAACTCCAACTTCATCTCCTTTATAAAAGTGCCAACACCACCAAGTGTACACCACCATGTGTATGTGTGTTAGCATTTTCACAATCATTTTCCAAAGGATTAGCCACTCAACTTGCCACGCCATTCAATCCTAGCGACGATGCAAAGTTAGATCACTCGAGTGGCACTAGATGACCGATATGCAAACAAGTTTGCTCCTCTTGATAGTATGGCCATCTATCCTAAACCCGGTCATCAACTTCTCTACTAAAGATGGCAACGGGCAATATCCGCGTGGATAGTGGCTTCGCACGCCCGTGCCCGCGAGCAAAATCTCGTGCCCACACCCACGCCCGCCACCCTCCACGGGCAACAACCTATGCATGTGCCTGCTATCCGCGGGCAAGGCTCGCCCACGGGCATGCCCGCATACCCGCCAAAACTTGTGGCGTGGAAGACGATGGCGGCCTGCGAGGCGGAGACGGTGGCCCTACGCGGCGGGGAAGACGATGGTGACCTATGGGGCATGCCCATGTGCCCACCGGTAGGTCAACGAGGACGGCGGCCATCTAGGGCGAGGGACGAGGATGATGGCTAGCCGGGGCAAGCGACGAGGAAGGCCGGCGAAGCGACAAGGGTGTGCGACGAGGAAGGCGGCTCACGGCTGGCCAGGGCACCGAGGGTGAGCAAAGAAGAGGCTCCTTGTCGTCCAGTGTCCACGCTGCTGTGGCCCCCACTCGAGGAAGCATGAGCTGGGCGCGCCCAGCCCTGGTGACGTGGGCGGCCATGGAGGGCGACCTTCTTCGATCTCCTCCGATGCTCCAAGCTAGAGAGAGCCCCATAGGAGAATGGAAAGCTCTCAAGATGGAGAACCCGGTGGTGTGACATGCATAACTTGATTCCTGGATTTGGAGGTGGGATTTGGAGAGGAAGAAGAGGGATGTTTCTCTGTTCTTTCTGTTCTTTCCTCTTGGCAAAGAACATGAGGACAAGAACTGAGGAGAGAGCGGTGAGACAGAGGAGGGTGCGGTGTGGTGTTAGGGAGGAGAGTGGCTGAGTGGCGGTCCACTTGTCAGTGATTGATCGGAGCGGGTCTGTCGAGTTTGCGGGTGCGGGTAGGTTATTTCTTTGCCCATCATCAAATATCCATCAGGTTGACAGCTGTGCCCGCACCCATGCCCGTGGGCACAATTTGGCGCCCGTATCTGCGCCCGTCGGGTTTGTTGCCTGTAGGTTTGCGGGTATTCTCTACCCGTTGCCATCTTTATTCTCTACACACCTATGACCGGTGAAATGAAATGCCCTAGGTTATACTTTTGTCTTGCGCATTCCATTCCATCTCCTCCAATGTCGATGCAACACATGCACCAACATTATCAACAATGATATGATCCACTTCATATCATCATGTGATCATGTTGGTTCATCGATCTTGACTTCACTTGCTTTTCACCGTTGCCTTCGTTCATCGGCGCCAAGTCTTGCTCAAGCTTCACCGCCACGCGGTCCATCGCTCTAAAGCCTCCGACTTGCCTTTCACGCTTGCAACCGGTCCATCAAGCCAAGTCTTGTCTTAATCTTCTCCACCTTGATCACATGACTCAATGTCATGTCTCATGTGCAATAAGCCCTTCATCATCACATGTGTGAGCTTTACAACATCTCCAAGCCATTTTCACCTTCATGGCATATGTTGCTCACACATATGTACCTGCGGACTAATCACCTGTGTATCTCACATAAACACAATTAGTCCACCTAGGATGTCATTCAATTACCAAAACCACACAAGGACCTTTCAGCCGTCGATGAGCAGGCGATGTCGGTGAGCTGTCGATGTGGCCTGAGGACTGAACGACGAGTGCCGCCGACAAGGGACCACAACAAGAGCCGCGACGTGCTGACAAAGGGCCGCCGTGAGACGACGACGGGATCCACATTGTCGGCGAGGGACGTTGTTAGGTTCCTGCCAATAATTGCCATGAAGACAAATAGAGATGTACATGGGGTATACATGTGTCGTGTATTTAATTGAAACAAAAATATAGCTTAGCTTGTTTAATGGGCAACTGGACGTGCTAATCTCAAGCTGGGGTTGGATCTTGAAAGTGCTAACGAGTATCAGATCATTGCATATCTCTTTGTAGATGTACGCCCTCCTTTAGATCGTGTCCGGTGACGTGGTCGATGAGCCAACGATGTTGATAGCGAGATGCGACGATGAAGGATGCCACGGGACCGGTGAATCGACGATGACGAGTCGATGGTGTGGGCCGCATCTGCTATTCATGGTCACAAAGACAAATGGAGGCATCGAGAGACATGCAAGTATATAAGAATATTTAATTGTAGATAAAAAATCTAACTTAGCTTTTATAGTTGGGCGTGTTCAATCTTGTCTTGGAGTCATATCACAAAACATAGATGATCGAATCCCAGCCGAGGGTGTACAGGCAAGCCTCGATATCTTCGATGATTACTCGCAATCAACTCGCATGGCTCGAGAGGCTGAACATCTTTTGCCTGCTCGTGGTTAATAGATGTAATTTAATATATAATAAGCCATACTAGTAGGTGCCGCTGCCAAGGCCTGATGACTGCATCTCGTGTCAACATGAGATCGAGCTGATGATGATATTGTTAGTGTGGAGGGGGCATTAGCATACGGACTCGACGACATCCACCACCGCTAGTACATCGGTGCAAGGGGCGTTGCTCGTTGCCACCGAGGCATGGGGACATAGAGACGTAGTTCTTCTGGACGTCATGTTGCCAATCGGTACATCGAGCGCCGCCGCCGGCAGATGCCGATTTGTCGTGGGTGATGTTGACCTTGAGGTACGTCATCTGGTTCGCCATGGGATCAGCACGCACACCCCCTACCCGGCGTGCCACTGTCGACGAAATCTAGTCGACAGTCTACCGAGGGGTATACCCACGGTAGTAGATGAATCGGTGGAGGTGCGCATGATACGAACCGGATGATGACACAAGCGCAGAGACAAGCGATTTAGACAGGTTCAGGCCGTCTGATCGACGTAATAGCCTACGTCATGTGTCTTTGGTAGATTGTATTGAATATGAGATGAATGCGAGGGGGTCCCTACCCGCCTTATATAATCTGGGGGGTAGGGTTACAAGTCGGTTTAGGTCTAGATCTATTCAGTTATATGGTAAGTATTTATAGGGAATATGATATCTATCATATCCGAAAAGATATTCCTTCATCGCCAAGATGTCTTCTGATTGCCTTGCGGTGCACGCCGATCAGAGCCGAGCGCCGTAGGTCTTGATCTTATGGGCTGAACCTCCCCTGGTGGTGCGGCCCATGTCTATTGCCGTGGGTACCTGGGGTTATACCCCCCACACCTTGTGAGTGTGCCGCCCCCTTTCCTCGATGCTTCAATGGCGAACCACCACAATTTCGCACCGGAGACGATGCCTGCGGCCTTCCAGAAGTTGTAAGCTCTGTTCCAAATTATGTAATGGGAGTTTTTCATCTAAAAGGGGAGGCACATCACAAGATGGAGACTGCCAGATCCAATTTCTTTTGGCATGGCCCTGGGCAGAAGAAGTACCATTTGATGAGATGGGAGGTACTATAGCTACTCCAAAACCAGTTGGGGGGGGGTTCTTGTATGTATTAAAAAGAAAAGAAAAAAGAGAGAAAAGAATATGAGAACAAGTATATACTCCCCTGTCCAAAATAAGTGCACACCTCATATAGAGGAGTCAACTAATTTTAAATTTAACTTCAATTATATATCTCAGTAGATTTACTATAAAAAGTTATATAATATAATTAATCTTATAATACTTATTTAGTATCATGAATATTAGTATTTTTCTATATATATTTAGTCAAACTTGAGATACATTAACTTCTCTAAATACGAGATGTGTACTTGTTTTAGGACGGCGTCCTTTTTTTTAGCGGAATCTCGGCCGAAGGGTTTGTTTGAAACCCAAGAATTTCATAGAAATTAAGGCCTTGTTCACTTGTCTTATAATCTGTATTTTTCAGTTTGTTTTTTTAGCCGGAACAGTGTTTTTCTCTCACAACAAATCAGCTGAAACAGTGTTTCGGCTTGTTTTTTCAGCGAAGCAAACAGGACCTAAATTGTACAGAAATTTAACAAGAATCAATTCAATTTTACTTGAAAAACACAAGAACATGGAAAAATCCCGGCGTTCTATTCATTTTCTGGTGTACCTGCTCATATATCATGCAGATGAAAGAAAGCAAGCATGCGTATCTCTTCTGCCCACGAGTAACAAACACGTTATGCATGGTCACACGCACCAGGTGCAAGAGCATGCAACATTACAGCTTCGCTCCCAACTCCCAAGTCCCACCGTACCGTATTCTCGATGGAGCGAAGGTGTTAATCCTAAACCAGCATGCATAGCTCTATAGCAGTACGTACTAAGACAGTCAGCGAGCATGCAAAAAACTCATGCAATTCAGCGGGGACACCATGTCAGGCTCACATAAAATAAAGATACTCTACATGCATGGAGGAAGGCATGAGCATGCAAAAAGCTGATGAAGGCCGGGCCCGGGCGGGAGCTCCCGCTTCCCCCCTGCCCAGCCCCAGCTGCCTTCCCTCTAATGGCATTAACTGCCGCCCACCCACCCGCCATCTCCTCCCCTACCCCGCCGCCGCTGCTGCTGATCCTCTCCTGCTGCTAGTACTACTATATCAATACTAGCTGGACCCTTTCCACTCCCCTCGCCTCATTACCACCACTGCTCCGATCCATCCCCGCGCGCGACTGCGAGGGAGGGAAGTCGACCGGCCACCATGGCGCGGGAGGAGCAGGCGCTGCTGTCGACGGAGATCGTGAACCGCGGCGTGGAGCCGTCGGGCCCGGACGCCGGGTCGCCGACCTTCTCGGTGCGCGTGCGCCGCCGCCTGCCGGACTTCCTGCAGTCGGTGAACCTCAAGTACGTGCGCCTCGGCTACCACTACCTCATCAGCCACGGCGTGTACCTGGCCACCATCCCCGTCATCGTGCTCGTCTGCGGCGCCGAGGTGGGCAGCCTCAGCCGCGACGAGCTGTGGCGCAAGGTGTGGGGGGAGGCCACCTACGACCTCGCCACCGTCCTCGCCTTCCTCGCCGTCCTCGCCTTCACCATCTCCGTCTACATCATGTCCAGGCCCAGGCCCGTCTACCTCATCGACTTCGCATGCTACAAGCCGGCCGACGAGCTCAAGGTGCGTGCATGCTGCCTACTCTTGCTCTTGTCTATCATTACCAATATATGATTTGCATGCAAAGAAATATAATACTCATGCTGCTAGATGTAGTAGTAAACATGCTCTTCAGGCCTGTTTAATTTCTTCCTTAGCCTGCTTACTTTCTTTGATTGTTTATATAATTAAACTCCTAGTACTACTTACTTACCAGTTACCACACATTTGATAGTCATGCTGCTCACACGCACATGTATGTACAAGGAACATACTATGCCATATCTGATCTACTTTTATATGAGATAAATTATTGGATCAGAGTCAGGCTATGACATCTTGTCTTGGGATAGATGTTTTATTTCCGGCTGAATTATATGCATGTGGAAGTGGAACACGTAATTATTGTATAGCTTCGATCCTTAGAAGGGAGGTCATGGGTCCCAGAAGTGAACATGTGATCATTACTAATTAAGTTGTTGCATCTTACTAGTAGGGCATCTAATACTTGGTCAAGCATGCATGGTGCACTGTGTGCCCATACCTATTTGCTTGGTCCCGATCTACTACTACAAGATTAGTGCACATTTTGTGAAGGAGACAAAAACTTGATTATGGGTAGCAGTAGCAGGATCAGTTAAAACATGGGCTGTAGCCTGTCACATCGGTGGGCGTACAATGGCTTAGCATAAGATGGCTTATAGTTTATGGGATAATATTTTTCTTTCTCAATAAATTAGTCGTACAAATCAGTCGGAACAGCTCGAATAACCCTACCTCCTGTACTAGTGCTACAAAGTAGCATTGCAGGGCCGTGCTGGGCCTTTAATATGGTTACAGCATCGGCCAGCTGCCACCGATTGAAGGCCCATAAATGTTGCAGAAACTGCATCCATAAATACACCGACAGAGCACATCCACTTGCCTCAAATGAAAACCCTACTCTCATGAATTTATCCTTCCAACCCCTCCTCCACCCATTAACATCTATACCTTTTTTAGCCTGAAAGACTTTTTAGAGTCAGCGCTAAGTTTGCACTTGATCGATACGACTGGCCGGCCCGATGTTATTAGCCCGTGTTTAGTTTCAACCTAAAATTCCAAAAAGTGCTACAGTAGCTATCACATCGAATATTTACGGCCCGTGCATGGAGCATTAAATGTATACGAAAAAAAAATTAATTGAACAGTTTGGTGGGAAATTGCGAGACGAACGTTTTGAATCTAATTAGTCCATTTTTAAACACTAATTGCTAAATAAAAACGAAAGTGCTACAGTGGAATTAAACACGGCTCACGGCTTAGTCGATGGCATCGCAGTGCATTAGAGATGAGCAGTGGGCCTCGTGGCCCACCGGTATAAATGGGCCAGCCGGTTTCCGTTGGGTTGAGGTCACAGGTCAATCGGTCACACCCAGCACGAACGGTTGGGCGCTCGGTCCATCGGCCCAGCAATCAATGAGCAGTAATCCAAACGGGTGTATATTATTATGATTAATGGATAATAAAGATCTCAGTATGATAGTACTCCTGTTAACAGATTATTAGGCTCTTTTGAAACGCGGGACTGTTTTCCTGAATTCTACGTCTTTTTCCAGTGATGAAATCGAACTGACTTTCAAAAACTTCCAGAACGATTTGTGGAATTCCTCTGTTCCAGAGGCTAACAGAGTGGATGGATCGGCATGCAGTTGTAGACGATGCAGTGTATATATAATAATCATGCTGTGAAGTGATGGTTGTGTACATGTGCACACGTGCAGGTGTCCAAGGCGGAGTTCATCGACCTAGCGCGCAAGTCCGGCAAGTTCGACGAGGACAGCCTGGCGTTCCAGTCGCGTCTGCTGGCCAAGTCCGGCATCGGCGACGAGTCGTACATGCCGCGCTGCGTGTTCGAGCCCAACGCCAACTGCGCCACCATGAAGGAGGGCCGCGCCGAGGCGTCCACGGCCATGTTCGCGGCGCTGGACGAGCTCTTCGACAAGTGCCGCGTCCGGCCCAAGGACGTGGGCGTGCTGGTGGTCAACTGCAGCCTCTTCAACCCGACCCCGTCGCTGTCGGCCATGATCGTGAACCACTACAAGATGCGCGGCAACATCCTGAGCTACAACCTGGGTGGCATGGGCTGCAGCGCGGGCGTCATCGCCATCGACCTGGCCCGCGACATGCTGCAGGCCAGCGGCGCGGGCCTGGCCGTGGTGGTCAGCACGGAGGCCGTCTCCTTCACGTGGTACCCCGGAAAGCGGCGCTCCATGCTCATCCCGAACGCCTTCTTCCGGGCCGGGTGCGCGGCGGTGCTGCTGTCCAACCGGCGCCGCGACTTCCACCGCGCCAAGTACCAGCTGGAGCACGTGGTGCGCACGCACAAGGGCGCCGACGACCGCGCCTTCCGCTCCGTGTACCAGGAGGAGGACGAGCAGCGGATCAAGGGCCTGTCCATCAGCCGCGACCTGCTGGAGGTGGGCGGGCACGCGCTCAAGACCAACATCACCACCCTGGGGCCCCTGGTGCTGCCCTTCTCGGAGCAGCTGCTCTTCTTCGCGGGGGTGCTGTTCCGCCACCTGTTCCCGTCCAAGGCCTCCACGCCGTCGCCGCCGACCACACCCGGGGACGCCTCCGCCGCCGCGCCCTACATCCCGGACTTCAAGCGCGCGTTCGAGCACTTCTGCATGCACGCGGCGAGCCGCAACGTGCTGGAGCACCTGCAGAGCAACCTGGGCCTGCACAACGCCGACCTGGAGGCCTCCCGCGCCGCGCTGCACCGCTTCGGCAACACCTCCAGCAGCAGCATCTGGTACGAGCTGGCGTACCTGGAGGCCAAGGGCCGCGTCCGCCGCGGCGACCGCGTCTGGCAGCTCGCCTTCGGGTCAGGCTTCAAGTGCAACAGCGCGGTGTGGCGCGCCGTCCGCCGCGTGCGCCGCCCCGCGCGCAGCCCCTGGCTCGACTGCATCGACCAGTACCCGGCGCGCATGGACGCCTAGTACGTAGCGGCAATGGCTGCTGAATTCAGATCTATCTATTGCTCGCTTCGCTTCGCTACCAGTGCTGAATGCACCGATGGATGGCTGTTTAATGGTATAGGATGCGTTCGATCTGCATGCATGTAACTGATGATGCATGCACCAAGTGTTGCGTTGTTAAGGTACGTTTGAACTTTGGTTTGTGTTGCTTGTTTAGCGGTTAGAGACGTACGCTGCTAGCATAATGGAAGTATCCGGTCCGGTCCTGTGTGAACTTATGTACGTGCAATTTTAATGTGTTTTAATATTATAAGATTTGACGCTTGGCAATAGATGTTGCTGTTGTCGATATTTAGTTTTGATTGATCAAGCTCGGATGCTTCTGCTCTTGACATGTACTAGTACTAACAACTGTGCCAGTGCAGCGCAGTGACACTGGAACAAATCCAATTACAGCAAAAACGTCTAAGGCCTTGTTTAGTTCGGCCGGCGGTTTGCACAGTGTTTGATGTGACGGCGAACACTGTAGCAATTTTGTTTTTTTATTGTTCAACCATTGACTAATTAGGCTCAAAAAATTCGTCTCGCAAAGTTCAACCAAACTGTGCAATTAGTTTTTGATTTCATTTACATTTAGTACTCCATACATGTACCGCAAGTTTGATGTGACGGGAAATCTTCTTTTTGTATAGTGTCAAAGTTGGGAGGTTGGGGAACTAAACAACACCTAAAGGTGAAAGGCCCTGCAACCTCGAGGGGTGGGAATAACGGATTAAACCTCCGGGTTCAGAAATTTCGGTCCAAAACTTGAATTTCCAACCCAGGTCCGAGGCCTCGAATTTCCGGACCTGGGAAATAAAGAGCGAGCTAATCAAGTGATGATCAATGATACGAAGAGCTAGAGTTGCCACACAAGTAGATTAGTCATTGGAGCGTGTCAACTTGACACAGAGCACTACAAACTTCGATATACAAGTACATCGGACAAATCGAAACCAAGAACTAGAGCAAGAACACGCGATTTCATTCGTGGTTTGGTCACACCACAAAGGTGTACCTACGTCCCCATTGTCCCCATTGTTGGGGAGACTATAAAGGTCAAGAGTCTCTTTTAACTCCGCTCTTGCCAAGACAATCACGAAGGTTAACCTGGCACAAATTCACTAGAAAAGATGAGTGGTTAACCTAGCACAAATTCATTAGAAAAGATGGGTAACGCAAGCTTTTCGGTGCTCACCATAGATCGGGAGCTCCTAGGCAACGCCTAGCCATCCAGAATTTGCAACGAGTCAAAATCCAAGAATAACAAGTTGAAATCAAAGATCTAGCAAGTTCACGAGTGCTAAAAAATCTAGAAAATGGAGTTCAGAACCTTTCTCACACACCCCCAACCAATTCTTTTCACCAACCCAGGAGTCAATAATCACAAGATGATTTTTGATAGAGATGATATATATATTACTCTCCACATAATTCTAGCCATTACTTGTACTCTGGTTAGGTATCGAAAATTTCGATAGAGATCGGAAATTCTAACCCTTAAAGCATTTTGAATCCGTGTGTAATGTTTAATGAGAGAAGTCAATGGAACTTCGAAAATTCCGAAAACCTTAAATAGACCAGAGGACCCCTGATTGGAAATGTTCTAAGAAATTCCGACCTTGCTCAAAAATTCTGATTATTCTTGGGAATTCCAATCCTAAATAAGTAATCCTTCCGTTCCAAATTATAAGTCATTCCAAGAATCTTGGAGAGTCAAAACATCTCAAATCTAACCAAATTTATATGATAAGATAATAATATTTATAATGCTAACTAATTATCATTAGATTCTTCATCAATTATATTTTCATAGTATATCTATTTGATGTCAAAAATCTTTATAATTTTCTCTACAATTTTGGTCAAACTTAAGATGCTTTGACTCTCCAAGATTCTTGGAATGACTTATGATTTGGAATGGAGGGAGTACGATGATTTAATCAACACATGTGGCAAATAAAATACTCACTCTGGATACATTTAAGCTTTAAAACAACCTAAAATTATAACAGGAAGGGTTACCCGGCTTAAAGAAGGGACATTAAGTTTAGAGAAACCATAGATGAAGTGAGTGAACAATCCTCGGTAGGATGAAACAATATATAATAAATGTGAGCCAAGAAGGATGGGAGGCTATTAATCTTGACGACTTGATGTGTCTCAACCTTTACAATAATAAAATACACGAGCGGGTCTTAAATTTATCTCATGATATCATCTAGGTCCTCGAATTCTCAATATATATTTTCAAGTGTTCGAACCTGTTTTAGGGTGTTATCTAGGGCTAGAACACTCAATTTTACATTTTTAGTCCCTCAAACTTGTCACACAGTGTCATCTAGATCCAAACGAGCTTCAACCAGCCTACATGTTAGTCTCTAGTGCTCCATTTACATGTTTTCCGTTTATTCTAGTTCCATTTCCATACTCTTCCCCTCTTTATTTGCACTTTTCAATCTAGTCGTCGACTCACCGTTCCCAACACATGCCTTCATCATTTTCCACACCAAAGGCCACAACGTCATTAGTGGTGGTGGTGGTAAGACCAAAGCTAGTGCTCCTTAGGCAAAAGAGGTAGGCAAGCGATTGTTTTGCTGTTAAGTTCCTGCCCCGTCAAGAATGAGATGTGGATCCAACTGTTATGGTGTGTGACGTCATGACACGGAGTAATCGGGTCTACTTGGACCTAAGTGACATAAGGACCTAGATGACACACTAAGACATGTCCCGGTGCAACTTCTCTTGTTTGGCAGAAGGGGTAGGCAGTCGGTGCAACTTTTCTTGTTTGATAGACTTGTATGTATGTGTTGCGCCTGGTTTTGTGCATATGTTGTTGTTGCAGGCCCAACATCTCAACCACCCTGCTTGCTGGGTCAGCACCTGAGCCAGAGCGAGTCGTGCTCGGGACAAACGCGTGCCCAGGTGTCAAACAAACACGTTGAGTTAATTACACCGGCCAAACTATAGTCCATGTGCAGGCAAACAAATAAACCCCTGGGATTGCTGGACCCCGAGTCCACCCTTTGTGAAGACATTTCCCATACGTAATAGCAAAACTGATTTTCTTGCTCACGGTTGTCCTCCAGCACTGACGGTCGACCGTTTTCTTGTTGTTTTGTAAGCCACCCCTGTAGCAAAACTGAGATCTAGTATAATGGAGACCTTACTCGTGAAGGCATTTCACTGATGCACAATATAGCCAAACTGTTTTTTTCCGCTAATGCTCCACGTCCGTTCCGCGTCGTTCAGTCCGGGCGTGGCTAGCTTTGGGACCGGCCCAAAGGCCTGTACCCCTCATCGTCATACACGATTTCTTCAAAAAATAAAAAAAGAGAGCGACATTCTTATCTTCCCTATTCGCATCGGCTCCACTGCACCGCCCGCCCTTCGGTCGTATACGCATGAGCGCCGTCGCTGTCCGCATATGCATGAGCGCCGCCGCTAACTGTGTACGCATGAGCTCCACAGGCCGCGCTGCGCCGTCCGCCCGCGATCCTCCGCCATGGGGGCCGAACGCCTGGTCAGCCAGCCACCAGGAAGACCTCCGCCTTCGCCTGCCTAGCTCGCTGCGCCCGGGTGTGGAGCGCGCCCACGTGCAGCTCACGGTAGCCCGGGCGAAGCCCGCCCACGCATATCTCGCGCCCGCCTACCTAGTTCGTCGTGGCCGGGGCAGAAGTCGCTCGCATGCAGCCCGCGACAGCCGGGATAGAATTCCACACGTCGTCGAGGATCCATTCTCCCAAGCAGCAAGGAGATGTTGCGCTGAAACTGCATGTTGCAAGCGTCTATTTCAAGTGTTTCAAAGGTATGTTGCAAGCGTTTTATATCGATGTTGCAAAAGTAGATCGAGATGTTGCATATGTTGTAATTGTGTTTTCAAGTGTATGTCCCAAATATTTCACATGTTTCAGACATATGTTGCAAGTGTTTTATCTTGATGTTGCAAAGGTAAGTCCTGGATGTTGCATATATATGCATGTTGCAAGCGTATGTTTCATGTGTTTTAAGTGTTTCATACGTATGTTGCAAGTGTTTTATCTGGATATTGCATATGTTTTGCAATTGCTACGAACGTGTTTTCCTGGTGTTTTAGATGTATGTTGCAAGTGTTTCAATTGTTCCAGACGTGTGTTGCAATTGTTTCATCTAGATGTTACAAAAATAGATCTTAGTGTTACACATGTTGCAGTGGGACCCATCTACAATAACCATTTGCTGCAGCTGCTGGACCCACATGTGGGCGCAGGACATGAAGCACGCGCAGGCCACGGTGTGAACATAGGACACGAGCAACATAGGCCTCCACGTGAAACAGGCGGAGTAGGCATGGGGGCGTTCGGATGCTAGTACGTTCTTTTTTTTCCCGCAGGAAGATCCACACAGAGACAAAATCAATGAGAACATTGTACGCTCTTCCGTGTAAAAATCGATATTGTTCAGTTTGATAGTTTTTGCGGCTGATAACGATAGATGTTGTTTTGTCGTGAGAAAAAAATATTATATTATGACGGATGAGTCAGGCGGATACATTTAAGCGAACGGGACATCAAACTCTAAAACACTTAGCCTGTTCGTTTGCTCGTAAACGATCGTAAATTTTCAGCCGAGAATAGTGTTTTTTCTCTCACACCAAACTAGACAGCAGTAAATAATCCACGATACGATACGGCCTCCCGACTTACTGACACTAGGCTTTCGCGGTTTGAAGAACTGCAATTTGTTGACTTGCTTGATCCTTAGCCCTAATTATTCCTCTTTCGTCCCCCTCCGCGGGCGCCCTTCTCTCGCGCCGGCGACCTTCCAGTCGACGCGACTTTCTCTCCCCTGCACGACCGTCGTACCCTCTCCGCCGAGCGCACCTCCACCTGCGCAACCTGAACTGCCCAACGCCATCTTCCGTCCTGCCCCTCCCCACTCCAGTACCCCAGCCCTCCCCTGGCTTTCTCCATTCCTTTAATCCTCCTCCAATCCGATTTTTCCCTTCCTGTCTAGGAGGGACGCTCCAGTTCCGTCCAAGCTGTTGTGGATTTGTTTGCTAACTGGAGTTCTGGTTGACCACCTGAAGCAGGGTTCTGCTGAACCCCATGCCCAAATTTAAGTCCAGCCCGATTTGTAAGTCATGCAGTTCGATGAGGACCGGGACTCTGGTGTGGGTGGCGGCAACGGTGAAGTTGATGGCAGAGTGGACGAGCCTACCAGGTGAGGAAATGATACTATCTTTAACAGCCAGCAGTCAAATTTAGCAATATGATTTAATTTCTGCAATGAATTTTGGGGTGAGTAACTATTTGGAACTCAGGATCCGGCAGGAGCCAGTAAAGCTGTTCCAAATTTTCTATCGAGTTTGTTCCTTAAGGACAGGTCTAAACTTGATGTGGAGTCCAATTTAGCTAATGCTTGCTGTGTTTTGTGCGGTTAATGCGCAATGCTAGATAGCTAAGTAGTGTAAATGTAGCTATTGAATGTCATGGAAGAACTGGTGGTGCATTTCTTGTGCAGCTAAAGGTTGTTCCGTGTTTTCGGTTTATCATGTTTAGTAGAATTGTTTGGATCTTAGGTTCCCAAAAAGGGTCAAGGCCTATCTAGCCTTTTTAGGCTTGGATTATGTTGTAGTGGGACCTGAATTCAGATAGACCAAATGATCTATGACCATATTTAGTGTATTTTGTCTGAAAGGATTGTCAAAACAATAAATTTTCAATGACCTCCGTATTCCTATGCATAAAGCAGCGCAATAGTTGACTTGCTATTTTGGCTTTTATGTTATTTATTATCTTTTAATAGATGAACAGAAAGGTATATCACTATTTCAGTGATTGCCAGTTGTATTGAACTTCAACAGCGTGCCTGGGTGATCCGAAAGTAGTGCTGCTTTTTGTTTATTTATTCAAATAAATATTGCACTGTGCAGCAGTAAGATAATTTCTAAGCTCTGTGTTATAGCTGTTCAGATGCCTACGCTGTGGCATCAGCGCAAATGCGACGCCTCATATGCGTCGTGGACCAGAGGGTCGTAGGACTTTATGCAATGCGTGCGGCATAGCTTGGGCAAAGGTAGGTGCCAACTGTTCTTCACTACTCACTTCTGTATTACAATTCTTTTTTTACATCAGTGTTGGCTGCACTCTTGTTCGTAACTCTGTTCTTGTTTTTTCATGGTTTATATAGGACCAATTGCAACACATGTTAATAGCCTCTATATCAGATTTAAGCATATGGCCACTTACTTTAGTTATGACTATCATGAGTACTTGTTTATGCTTCTTCATAACAATACACTAATGTTTGCTTGGACCGATATGTTTTTTACTAGATTAATATTGGCCAGTGAGGATAAGGAATTAAGGAGGGGTTCTGTGCTCACCTTAAATTATTTGTTAAACTTGCATATACTTATGACAAACATGCTAGTGCGATACCATGCATGTTTAGTTTGAACACTGCATGGATGATGCCCTACAAACTCAAAACTCTTAAAAGTATTTTCCCCATTCTGCAGTGGGAACAAGTATAGAAATATTACTATTAGACTTTAACAGTCTGGTTTAGTGTAAGTTTTAGTGCTGTTTAGTTAACATGCTAGTTGACAACTCATTTGAATTTCCTACACGCAGGGGAAAATGAGAAAAGTTATTGATTCTGATACCCACATAGATGATGCCACAGTTGCAAAAATGGTGCCGGAAGTCGGCATGGAATTTGACAATGAAGATAAAGCATATGAGTTCTACAATAGGTATGCTGGACATGTGGGATTTAGTGTTCGTAAGAGTTCATCAGACAAATCAGCTGAAAATATCACAAGGTCAAGAACTTTTGTATGCTCGAGAGAAGGCTTCCGAAAGGACAAGAAAGGAGCTAAAGAAGTTAAGAGACCACGACCAGAAACAAGAATAGGGTGCCCTGCACGGATGACAATTAAGATTACATCAGATGGTAAATATCGTATTGCAGAATTTGTAGCAGACCATAACCATGAGCCAGCACCCCCATCGACCATGCATATGCTGAGATCTCAGAGAGTACTGACTGACCTGCAAACAACTGAAGCAGACTCTTCAGAAGATTCAACAACACCTTCAAGGATTTCCAGTGGTTGTTTAGTCAGGCAGGCAGGGGCAACTACAAACCTCAACTTTCTCCCTGCTGATTACAGGACTTCCCTTCCTTCAAAGCGTATGAAAAACATGCAGCCCGGTGATGCAGGGGCCGCTGTAAAGTACTTTCAGAGCATGCAGATGAGTTGTCCTTCATTCTTTCATGCTTTTCAACTCGATGAGGATGACAAACTGACCAACATTTTCTGGGCTGATTCCAAATCTAGAACTGACTTCAGCTACTTTGGTGACGTAGTTTGTTTGGACACAACTTACAAGATAAATTCACATGGCAGGCCATTAATGCTCTTCCTCGGAGTGAATCACCATAAGCAAATTTCCATATTTGGCGCAGCTTTGCTTTATGATGAATCAATGGAGTCTTTCAAGTGGTTGTTTGACACATTCAAAGTTGCCACTGGTGGAAAGCAGCCAAAAACAATCTTGACTGATCAATCAATGACAGCAACAGCTGCCATAACAGCAGCATGGCCAGGTACAATTCATCGTCATTGTCCATGGCAAGTTTACCAAAATGCTGTCAAACACCTTAATCACATCTTCCAAGGTTCTAAGACATTTGCGAAGGATCTGAGCAAATGTGTTTATGAATATGAGGAAGAAAAGGACTTCTTGCTGGGTTGGAGTACTATGCTAGAGAAGTATGATCTCAGAAACAATGAGTGGCTTCGCAAGTTGTTTCAAGATCGAGATAAATGGGCTCCGGTGTACAATAGGCATGTGTTCACTGCAGATATAAAAAACTCACTGCAATCAGAAAGTATAAGTAGTGTCTTGAAAAAATACTTGAGCCCACAGTTTAATTTGTCTTCTTTCTTCAAGCATTTTGAAAAAGTACTGGACGAACATCGATACTCAGAGCTACAAGCTGATTTTCATGCAAGCCAAAGCTTTCCAAGAATACCTCCCTCCAAAATGCTGAGGCAAGCTGCTAGCATGTACACACCAGTGGTTTTTGAAATTTTTCGTAGAGAGTTTGAGATGTTTGTGGATTCAGTGATTTATAGTTGTGGCGAGGCTGGGACTGCATCTGACTATAGAGTAGCAGTAACAGATAAACCAGGGGAGCACTATGTTAAGTTTGAATCCAGTGACTTCTCTGCTGTTTGCAGCTGTAAAAAGTTTGAATCAATGGGTATTCAGTGCTGCCATGTGTTGAAGGTTCTTGACTTCAGAAATATAAAAGAGTTACCACACAAATATTTCATGGGAAGATGGAAGAAGGACGCAAAGTCTGCAAATACAGGCAATCAAGAATTTCTGAATGATGGAACTTCACAAACTCCAAGCTCTTCTTTAAATGGTCCAGGACCATTTATCGATCACCAACACATGCAAACAAATAATCAGACTAACCATGTCAGTTAATTAAATACACCTAAATTATAAGCTATTTTATTTCGCACTTCTAGCTGAGATTGACATGTGATCAATCACAGGATTCCTCTGTTTCAAACTTGGACCAGCAAGGCCTTCATGGAGATGCACAAAGGAATCAGGTTTGACACACTGTTAGTTTGGTATGCTTGCCTTGTCAATCAACAGTGGAGCTTTTTCATAATGTATTTATAGCTACAACATGTCTTGAGTGGAAACAATCCCATAAAATTTATATACGTAAAAATTTACTGGGAAAATATTCATTAAATGATTCCAACTTTCAATGATTGCATGCCATCTTGGACTCATGTTCATAAAAGAAAAGAACATGATCCATCCATAGGATCTGAGAAGTGTAGTCACTAAAGTTAATTATGATTTTTCTACAGTTCTCAAATTTCTGCTATGCAAAGAGTAATTTCTACACAGAACCCCCACGATTATGATAGTATCATTTTCAAACAGTCTCAAAATTCTGCAGAAGTTAATTGTCTTCCACATTTCTGACTTGCGGTTGTTTGACAGGGTTATACCCCCTTGGCTGGGGTGCAGCACCTACAGTTCATAGGGAATTTTCACCTAAACAATGGAGCAGGTTTTTGATTAAAAAAATTGAACTGGAGCTTTGGCCCAGCTGGTAAAAAAGACCATGAAACATGCCATTGATTATTCAGTTTTTTCAATATGTTTTTCTCATGAAAGGTTTCTTGCACATGCCCTGTAAATTATAATGTGTGTTTCTGTAGCATCAGAATTTAGAATCTAGCTAGGTTTCTAGAAACATTAGGCACTGTTAGGTGGATCTTGAATCAAAATTTTTTTTTGCAGTCAGATGTTTGTTTATTTAATGTTATCAAGAAATGAAAGTTCATTTGGCTTCTGGATAGTAATTGTCTCGATCTTGTGTTGCTGAAATGACCATTTCGAACGATGTAATTTTTCTTTGTGCTCATTTCTATTTCCAAATATTGGTATGACGAATTGTTTGATTTTGCATGTTAGTAACTTATTGTGATTTTCAGAATCTGATAGTTTGGATACCTGACTTATATCCAGTGGCGCATGGAACAAATTTGTCTGAAGTCAAGCTTTTTTTAGTTTGACTGAATTTAGAGTAAAGAGCTTCAAAATTGAAGACACCAAATTAGTATTATTAGATACACTATAAACGATATTTGTCACCAATATCTGTACTTTTTTTTTTATAAACTCGGTCAGTTTTTAAAAAATGACTTAAGGCAACTCTAGAATTTGATTTATTCATATATGGAAGGAGGGAGTAGTGAATTATGCTGTTGTGGACAAGCACGAGGAGGATGTCCTAGCACTTTCGAGCAATTTGGACGCATTGGTGAATCATGTAGGTTGTAGGCATTTGATTTGAACTTTTCCATCGATGCTGCCCATACCACGCTAATCGCTATGAATAAAATATGCTTGCAGACGCATATAAAATTATGAATTAGATGGAACGTCCATGTTGACATTACATGGTCTCCGGACGCCTGACAATGATACGAGCAAATCAATTGCGGAGAAAAAAAGATCAAATCGAGGGGGAAATGCTATGGGAAGTAGTAAGATGAAAGATCCTGTTTGATTTGCATTTGATATGACCGGCGAGCTGCTGCTTGTGATGGCATTTGTTAAGCCGGTTGACGTGGTCATGCTATCGCCCAGCCGAGGTGCATCTGGTGAGCAGCCTGGAACTGGATGGTTGAACCGCTCTAATGATTTTGATGAGTAATCTTTGTTTATTATATTGTAATTAATGCTGAGCACTACGTGACGGAAACAAAAGTGAAATTTACTATGTTGCTGCCCCACGGAAGTAATGCCTTTGCATTGGCACGATGTGTGTTTTGGTGCAGTGCAGATCGTGGAGCTCACCGGAAGTTAGGTTCGCGCGCGTCAGTGTGGTTGTTGAGGTTCAGTACCTGGGCCATGCATGGTAGCCATGACTCGTCAGTCGTCTCGTCACGGTGGAGCAGCCGTCAGTAGTGCATATCATGTGGCAATGTAAATAAATCTCTACAACCAAACAAAGCGAACCCATGCCATGCTTGGCTTTCATATATGCTGTGTAGGCGTGTGTAGCCACTGTTGAGAAGCAAACAGGAAGCCAAGAGTCGCTTTCGGTGGAGGCTGACATTTCGTCAGTTGCCGGTTCAAGACATGGCACTCGATCCCGTGTGGTCAGACGTCAGAGCCAGGCTCTGGCTGGGGATCCTACGCCCAATTCCTTCAGCATCATCCATCCTGAACTAGCGTGGTGTTTGAATCCGGTGATTAAAATTTAGGAGATACATCGAAAGAATGTTGTATGGGATGTTCGGATACTAATAAAAAAATAAATTACATAATTCATCAGTACTATACGAGACTATTTTTTAAATCTAATTAATCCGTCATTAACACATGTTTATTGTAGCACCACATTGTTAAATCATGGACTAATTAGTCTTAAAAGATTGGTCTCGTAAATTATGTAATTAGTTTCGTAATTAGTCTATATTTAATACCCCATACATGTGTCAAATATTTAAAGGGACAGCGACTAAAATTTAAAGAGGCAACCAAACACCACCTAAGTCGTACAGCTCGCATATATACTTATATAAAAGGTCTTCAAGTATCGCAAAGGGGAAGGGGGCAAAGAAGCTTGTCGCCTGCTGGGCTACCCGAGCCGATGTCCATATCCTCAGTGGAGTGATCCGCGCCAATACTTTTCCTCGCCGACGACGGCACGCAGAGCAACAAATTCGCCGACGTCCGGCTGATCGCTGATCCGGGACCAAACCAACTCCACCAGAATTTCCTTGTGCGAAGAAGCTGCAGAAATCTCCACTCGAAATGCTGTTACATATGCATTGGAACAGCTTGCACGCTACCGCTAGTTCAAATTAAACGCGAGCTCTCGCGATCCTGGCCTGGTGCGTGGCCTCCACTAAACCCAAAGGCCAAAGCTGGAGCGCTGGATCAGGGCCTCGTTTAGATTGCGAAAAAATTTCAACCCGATGAATAGTACCACTTTCGTCTTATTTGATAAATATTGTCCAATCGTGGACCAACTAGGCTCAAAAGATTTATCTCGTGATTTCCAACTAAACTATGTAATTAGTTATTTTTTTTACCTACATTTAATACTCCATGCAAGCAGCTAAAAATTGATGTGATGGAGAGAGAGTAAAAAAACTTAGAATTTGGGATGCATCTAAACAAGGCCCAGGTCGGCAATCGCGTATGGGAATCTTCGCCCTCTTCCCCCCTCCTACCGAGCCGAAACCATCGCCAAACAGCTGCTGCTACCGGATTAGTACAAAAGTTATTATGACCCGGCAGCACGGTGCAAACATGCGAGCATGAAGTGCCGGCCCGTCTGGGGGGGATACAGGACGGACGCGTGCGTACACGACCGCATCCGCACGAGCGCGCGGGCATGGACCGGGGGGGCAGGCGGCCGAGCTGCCGAACCCGCGGAGGCGTTGCCGCCGAGCCGACTCCCCATCGGCCGCGACGCGGACTAGGCACCCATCGGTTTCCGCTTGGCGCTTGCGTGCCCCGTGCCGTGGGCCGTCGCAGCGACGCTGCCTGGAGGCTGGAGGATGGGGCCCAGTAGCTCGTCGTGTTCTGCCTGGGCTGCGTCAGTGCGACTGCGAACGCGTGTGCTCGGTACGGCCGCGGGGCCCGGCGTGTCAGGGGCGGTTAGCGGCGGTTGGGCGCCCCGCGGCCGCGGGCTCCTTTTTTATGGCGCCGCCCGCCTTGGGGAGAGAGACCAACCGCCGCTTGGGCTCCTCCCTCCACCTCCACCTCCACCACCGAAAGGTACTGCGCCTCCCTCCCTTTCCTTGCTTCCCCACCACCTGTTTGCCGAAACGCTGCAGCCGCGAAAAAGAAAAAAAAAAAGAACTCGCTTGTGCTGTTCCCGTGTCTGCTCTGCAGAGGCCTGTGTTGATAATTTGGTGCGGCGCTTCTCGTCCGGTGGCGGCGACGGAGAGCGTGCTCGTGCTCAGCTGGTGTGCCGCTTACTTGCTCCAGGAGTTACAACGTTTCTTCTCGCTGTAGGCGTCCTCCTGGTCCTCAACAAGGGCCTTCGCTGCATATGTAAGTTTCTTCGAACCACTGTTGATGGTTTTCTTGGCTACCTCCGCGCTCTCAGTTTCAGTTTCTTCTCCCCGTAGCTTCTTTCCAGTAACCTCGGTAGTCTGCAAGAGATGGTGTCAGTTAGTTTGGATTTCCCTATTTGCGATGGATTAAAAGGTGAGGACGACTAATTTTGATGCAGTTATATGTCTCCTGTTCATCTTATCGGATGACACTAATCGGTTGTTACTACACACAAACCGATACAAAGACGTTCTGATTTTAGTATAGTAGGAGTATCAAGTTAGCAGAGTTGTTTCCCCTCTCGTTTTCACATTGTTCTGACCTAGAAGTTTAAGGATCATTATTACCCAATCCTCCTGCCTTTCCAACAATGCCTGTTTCTTGGTTCGTTTGGTTTCTCATTTCCTGAATTCTAAGCCAAGAAACCCCTAAAGGACATGTTACTACAGCAGAATTTTGGAAGGTTGTTATTTCTTCGCAATCCCTTTGTTTAAGTCTGAGACATGAAGGAATTGGGAAAGTTGGTGTTGTCTGTGTGTCCCTGTTCATGGCCACGGAGCTGGAGCTTTGCAAGAATGATTAGCTTGCCTTTTTGGTTGAGGAGGGGGGTCTACACCACTAATCTTTGCTGGAAAGCTAAGAAATATTGATACAGTCCTTTCTCCTTTTCCTAAAACCTGCACTTATTCAGTAGAATACTTTCCTCCTGTAAACAGAAAATTGTTTTTGTTCTTTCTTCACTGGGAATTTTGCTTGCTGTGTGAAAGGACATTGTTTGGTGCTGAACAGGATTGTTATTGAGTGCCTTGTTCTTTTCATCTGTTTGGTTGGTGTTTATTTATGTTCCAATCAACATGACATCTGGACAAATTTGGATTTTTGGGTGCTACAGGTCCATAGCTATACTAGTAATCACATGCCTATATTGCTCCTTTATGTGTTTCTGAAGCTTTAACCAATTCATCTTTGTCCTTTTGTACTTTAAAACCACCAGACTCGTGTTATTACGTAAGATATTACTTTCATGGAGCTTAAACATCAATTTATTTCTTTACATTGGGCCACCATCATGAAGACGTATCAATCCACATGCATGATGCAGCATTGTCAGTAATGTGGTGGATAATGCATTTACATTTAACTTCCATTACCTTTTCTTTCTTTCAGAGAAAAAGAATAAGCTGGCTTGAAGATAATGGCATCTCTTACTCCAGGGATACTATTAAAGGTTCTAAAAAATATTAACTCCGATGTGAAAGTATGTGGAGAATACCGGTCCATTCTTCTCCAAGTTATTAGCATAGTCCCCGCAATTACTGGTTCAGAACTCTGGCCGGACCATGGTTTCTTCATCAAAGTTTCAGATTCTTCACACTCAACATATGTTTCCTTGTCTAAGGAGGACAACGAACTCATCTTATCAAACAAACTACAACTTGGACAGTTTATATATGTTGAGAAGGTCCAGTCAAGTATACCTGTTCCAGTTCTTGTTGGGGTCCGCCCAGTTCCAGGAAGGAACCCTTGCATTGGAAACCCGAAGGATTTGATGCAAATGTCAACTCCCTCAGGGGTTATGGAAGCACTGGATCATCAACGTAAGACTTCCAAGTCAGCTGATCCGTCTGAAAGTGAGAAGGAAAATTTGCAGAGAAAGGTAGTTATCAAAGAGCAGAAGACAGTCGTTGCTTCCCGTTACATGCTTGGGGTATCAAGCAACAACGGAAAAATTACCAATCTCAACTCCAGCATTGATAGTGACAAAAGTAATGGAGGAAGTACCATATCTGAATCAAATCAAAAGTCTGTTGCCCCGAAAGTCAGACAAGAGGCAAAACCTCAGGTATGCTGAAGCACATAGCTTTAAATCAGAAGTCTGGGTTTTGAAAAATTCTTACAAACATTGATTTTAAGTTGAAAAATCCTTTATAATATGATTTTTAAGAAGTAGCAGGGATATGATATGTGAGCTCTTATAAATTTTATATAAACAAAGCTTTGAAACAAAAAGACTTATCTTATCTTCTGAAAAGGGTAAAAAAACGATGCTTGATGATTACTTTCAGGAGAGGCCAAATAATACATCTCCTAGTAATGCTAAGTTAGTTTCCACAAAGCAAGAAATTAGCAAGGACACACGCAAGAATAGTGGCACTTCACCTAGTCTGAATGGTTCTGCTGTAGTCAAGAAGCAAATGCCGAAGGAGAGCAAAAAGGAATCTGCTACTGAAAGAAAATCACCACCAAAGCTTTATAGAAGTTCACCAACGCCAGCGAGGACTTCACCAACAAAGCTCAGTCCACCAGCAAAGCAGAATGGAAACTCTGGTCCAGTTCCTTCTGTAGCTACTGTTAAAAGAAGAGTTACTGAAACTATCTCCTGGGACTCCCTCCCAACAAGCCTAATCAAATCAGGAAAGGTATGCTTTATGTTGTTTGGTAATTTTGTGCCTGTATCAAGTATGAGGTTTTCATGAGTTGAAAATGTGTTTTCTGTTTCTGTGAATTTTGTGCACATGTATATAAACTTCATTCGTCTTAATTGAAAGGCAGAGCTCCTGCCATTGTTTCAAAAAAAAAAAATGTGCACATGTGTATTGGAACATTGTTTCGAACCATTCATTGTATATGCAGAAAGATATCTGCTTACAAGTTAAACTTTATTAAATTCTTCTAAAAAACTTTACTAAATTACTTCAAACCATTTGAATATTTGTATTATTTTGTGTGAATAGGCTGTTGTCCGGAGGAAGAACATTGCTCTTATTGTAGCAGCTGAGGCTCAAAGGGAGGCTGCTGCAGCTGCATATCTTGTAAAAGGCCTTGGGTAAGTAGGCCCATAGTCAGATATTTCATATGCTATAGTAATTTTAGTTGCATAAGTTGGGAAAGACGTTCCAAATTGATGAATTCGATGTATTACAATGCTACTTTACATTTTGTTGTTAAGCAAATTGTACCAATTGGCTATAGTTTAATGTAACCTCAACAGTGTAAATTCTAAAAATGGTCTTTAGCTTTTTATGTTTTTTTTTCTGGAGGCCTATATTTGTTAATTGCTTAGAGATGTTTGTGTGATATGCCTGAAGCACCTTGCCACTGCAATTCAATGCTCTCTGAACAGAATAACCACACACAAAAATACTGGAATAGCATGAGCTTTGCATGGAATAGGTTTTGCCTCTGATGCTGTAGTGCATCCCAGGATCTTGATTCCTTATTGCAATGCACATGCTTTACTCTTTCTTTTATGACGCGTCTTTTTTCTAGGGAGCTACATTGTTTACTTTAGCTTATGAACTGGACGAATAAATCTAATCTTGTACGTGCTTTTACAGAATTTTTGCTGAGATAAGGGAATCTTCTGAAGTAGATCCACATGCTGCAATCACCAAGTTTTTCCAGCTGCACAGGCTCATCGTTCAGCAAAGTGCTGTCTGGAAAGCTTACTCGCCTGAGCCTAGCAAAGAATCTCGACCGGAGAAGGAAAAGCCGTCGAGGAAAGCTTCTGCATCTCATCAGAACAAAGCTGGTAACACAGCTAAGAATCCCGAAGATGCTCAGGGAAGCGAAAAGGCCGAATGGGCCCGGGAGGACGGTTTCAAGGAGATTTGCAGGTCATGGATTGCTCTGAAAAAGGAATCACGGTCATGGTTTCTGAGCTTCCTGGAGGATGCACTGGAATCAGGATTCATGTTCGAGAGCCATACCAAGAACACAAGAGAACGCGTGCGGGGACCACCCAAGGGTGGCGGGGACGGGAGGATCGCGGTCCGGCTGTCGCAGCTCAAGGAGACGAGCAACTGGCTCGATCAGCTGCAGGACGAGGCGGACAGTTCCGCGGACGGTTTGGCCGAAACCGTTGAGCAGCTGAAGCAGAAGGTGTACAAGTGCTTGCTTGGGACGGTCGAAACCGCGGCGTCAGCACTCGAAGGAAGGTAGAGGTAGCACACGAGGAGATGAAAATGATGATGTCAAGGGTGACGAAGAAGAGCGTTAAGTTATTGGGTGTTCAGTCCTGCAAAATGACGTAGGGATGAAGAACACGATGAGGAAAGATGTAAATAGTCGGGTTGCTGATGTTAAGTTATATAAATTAATTTATTTATTTTTTGTCGGGGCATTTCCTGGTGTTGCGTGTGAAATGGTAATTGATTTTCTTGGATCTTCAAATCGTGTGGTCAGTACAAATTGTCTTGCGTGTGAAATGGTCGGGTTGTTGATTTTCTATCTGCATTTTGCTTGAAACCGGGGATTCCTGTCCGCGTTGGTTCCCGTCAGTTTAAGGCCAGTTGGTGCAATGCCACCTTCTGAGTTTTGTTGCTTGGGAAAAATCTGACAGACAAGAAAGACAGAGTAGGGTTGTTGAGTTTGCAACAAGCTGGAAATTAATAAACATAATCAATCAGCTAACATATCCACGTCGCAGTTGGCAGAGCGAGACAGCACAGCCCACAGCATACTAGTACGCTGGATGAAAATTTGTTTTTTTTTTTTGAGGGGAGAATGAAAATTTGATAGAAGCATTGCGTTTGGTAGCAAATCTGCTGAGCCTGCGCTGCGCCGCAGCCAGCCAAACCCAACCGGCAAGTTCTGTGTGCGCACGAATGAAGACGGCAGCCTGCAACCTATCGGTGCTGTGAGGCAGCAGGCCGTTACTGGGGGCCTCCTCGAGCAAGAGGCACGTTTGCTTCTTGCCCAGCGCAGCCCTCCGCCAACACAACAGCCCAACACGCGGGTTACTGTTACTAAGGGGGCTTCCGGGGACACTGTTGTGGGCTTCAGGGGGCGAAGGCCTGGAGAGCCCTGGGCTCTGTGCCTCTGTTGCATCGCATGACAGCACGATAGCCCAGAGCAAAGTCCGTCCGTTCGTGACACGACCACACAAGCACAAACAGGAAAGAGCGCCGCAAAGCGAAAGGGAGGCAGCGACACGAGGAGAGCATGAGCAGGCCGCGGCCCCGGATGGGACCCCGGTGGCCGGGTCATCAGTCATCACATGGCCGAACGCGTACGTGCGTGCCGGAAAATCCTAGAAATCTTCTGGGTCGCGCTGGCAAACGAAAGCCGGCCGCCGGTCAAGGTTGGACTCAACTCCGGTGGTGTACTGCCACCGTCCGAGAGCAAATCTTTGTCCGGACCGTAGTCACCGGCCGGAATTGAACCACCGCCGCAGTGTCGGATTCGTTCACCGTCCCAGGGCAAATCTGATCGAGAGCCTTTTGATTATTACTGAATACTGATCGATGACACGGAAACATCTGTATATATCTCAGTCTCAGGCTGATGATATGACATCCATCCGGCATGCATGTGCGTGGATGGTCCGCCGCGGGTCGCCGCCGAGCAATTGCCGTGCGCGTGCCCCGAAGCCGGATTTGGCGACGACGACGAAGCATGCGCGTCTACCTCTACCTGGCGCGTCTAGCTAGGATCCAGTAACGCGTGCACCATGCGGTCGGTGCGTGCATATGATGGAATTAGTGGTACGCGCGATCGACTGGAAATTGGAAAGAGACAAAGCTTTGATTTGATTTGATCATCTGTGAGCTGACGGCCGTCGTCATCATCGTTCCAGTCTGCCTCGCACGACTATTTCCTGCCTTTCGCCAAGAAAGGAATGGAGACAGAATGCATGCGTTATTACGCGAAAACAAAGGGACGATGCATGGTCATACATACGTGATACACCATATACATGCATGATGTCATGATATACATGCACGTACGTACAAGCTAGTGCAAGAAGTGTATACACTACTACAGTATATGTGTACGCTTCTGAACATATATAGCTGTAGCAGTACTTTGTACAGGCTCTGCATGGGCCTAATTAAATCGGTCAAGGTTATGGGCCCAGATCACACGTCTTCTACGCTTTGAGCCCAACCGTACTATACCATCTTTCTTCGTCTAGGTAGAATAGAAAACTGTTATACCATGCATCTTCCTTTTTTTTTCCTTTTGAGATGATGAGAACCACGCGAGGCAGCGGGATCAGCGTGCGGGACTAGCGTCTGCTGAGGCGAGGTGCTACTCACCATCAAGGCAGCCGCAGCCTCCCCGCCTACAAACAAGCATATGTAAGTGATTTCTTTTATTTTATTTGACGCTGAGTTCTGCCTTATTTCTCACCATCTTGCCATCTTACTCGCAAGAGGCTGCACACCCGGGCGTGGAGGTCTCGGAGTTCTCTGCTTGGGCTATGTCCCACATGGGCAGGGCGTCTTCCTCTGTCTCCTTCGACCCATCTGCCCCGCGCGAGGTGTACTCCGACCCGACCGTGCACACTAAGGTCCAAGAGTACACCTCAAAGGTGAGAGAGGTCCATGGGGAAGATTACGATGTGCGCACTGAGCCCATTGATGCAGAGACCATCATAAGGCTAGGAGGAGGCAAGAAGCATGGGCGGCTGTGGATTGCAGACAGCGCCATCGACTCCACCACTGTTCCCTCTCTCGATGTGCTCCGAGCACGGAGCACGAGCTCCAGCCAGCCCATACGCCCACGGCCTACTCCGTCACTGCAGCGGGTCGACGCTCTCGAGGTACGTCCTGTTTTACTCGTCGTACGTTCATCTTTGCACACCTAAGTTACATTTGCATTATTGAAACATTAAAGTTTGTATTGCAGGCCGAGCTGTAGGCCCAGAAGCTCGTGGTCGAGGCTCAGAGCGCGCAGCTGCAGGCCCAGAGGGAAGCGTTCGCGGCCCAGGAGAGGAGGATGCAAGAAATTGAGGTCTTCATGTGGAGTGTCCAGCAAGGGGTGTACCTTTGCCGTTGGCAGCTCCTCCACCGCCTACTTCTATAGCCACTCCTGTAAGTATGAAAGTTCACTCTTACTAGATGCTTCCTTGACATACAACCATGCTTGACATAGAAACTTACTAGATGCTTGACATAGAAACTTACTACATGCTTGCACTAGCTATGATATACAACCATGCTTGACATTCTCAATTTACTAGATGCTTGACATAGAAACTTACTAGATGCTTGCACTAGCTATGACATACACCAATGCTTCACATAGAAACTTACTAGATGAATCTCACACATGCAACCTCTTATCCTTTTTGCAGCTTCCGTCGGCGGGTTCGAATAACCCCGCTCATGCGTCACCGAATGATGGAGCCTTTGCTTCACCATCGTGTCATAGGCCGCTTTTTTGAGGAGTTGTGCTTCGTCATATGCTTGGACTTGAGCTTCACTTGTGGTTGTGACTTGTGCTTGGACTTAATGGACTGTGGTTGTGAATTTGTGACTTGTGGTTGTGATATTTGACTTGTGGTTGCGATATGTTGTTATTTGAGTTGTGGTTGTGATATAATGTGTGAAAATGGTTTTGTTGTGATATATATGTGATTATTGTGATGTTTGTGATATATATATGACATGTGATATATATTTGAACTGTTTGTGTCAGTGGAATGCAAAAAACAAAAAAAAATTACAATTTCGGTTGATTTGCCGAGTGCAATTGTCATGGCACTCGGCAAAGTTGGGAAACTTTGCCGAGTGCCAGGACATTGCACTCGGCAAAGATTTTTTTTTAAAAAAAGCAAAAAATATTTGCCGAGTGCCAAGCTGGGGAGGCACTCGGCAAAGATCTTTTTAAAAAATTAAAATGGCTTTGCCGAGTGGCGCGCCGTCGTGGCCCTCGGCAAAGAGTTTTTGAAAAAAAAATGTCTTTGCCGAGTGCCCTAACTGTCGGCACTCGGCAAAGGCGCCGTCAACGGAGCAGCGCCGTTGACGGCTGCTTTTCTTTGCCGAGTGTCGCCGTTGGCACTCGGAAAAGGCTTTGCCGAGTGCCCGACAAATGACCCTCGGCAAAGCGCCTCTTTACCATTAAATTTTTTTCCGATGCTCTTTGCCGAGGGCGGCGCTCGGCAAAGCCTTTGCCGAGGGCTTTTGGGCCTTTGCCGAGTGCCCTGGGCCCTCGGCAAAGAGGGCGCCTCCAGTAGTGTGAGGTACCATGCATCATACAATCATAGAAACCATGCAAAAATAAGATGCCAAGTATTATCACCAGCTAGCTGAGCAAGTGAGCATAATATATGCCATGCTCTTCCACACCAAGTCAATCAATCGCACATGGCAATGCAAGTTTATACTTACATAATTAATATACAATGTAACGTACGTACAGTACGTACCAGTACCATGGATGTGCAACAATCATGGAGCATGCATACGGCCGGCCTTTGGGACTGTACAAGTGGCTTGCAACCGCCAAAACAATAGTGTGCCTTTTGAAACCACACACCGGCACACCCACACAGTACAGCTGCAGACCGCTGAATCTTGGTCAAGGCTCAATTGGAACCTACTAATAACCAAACCAGGCAACCACAGAGATATGATACGTTCTTGACCGCCTCAAACTCGAGATCAAAACCTTGTGCGTAACAGATGCATATAGCTGTTTCGGTACGGTGTGTTCTCTAGTTTCTTGCCAAAAAAAAGGCAACCAGCTTATTCTAACATTCTCATGCAAGCAAGGTCATCTAGACTGTAACTTCTGAATTCTGATGATGCATCTATCGGTCTCGGCTTGGACTACTACTGCCAATTGGCAAATAAAATATTTGTATTCAGAGCTGACTGGTCAACTCCATTCCGTGCATACATTTTTATTTTTTAATGTATGTTTGTGCATACGTTTTTATCTTTATTTTATATCTGTTATTAGTTGTTTATGCTTGTTTTTGGCGCAAAGTTTTAATCGCTGGCGGGCTACCTATTCGTTAATTGAGCGATTAGAGTCCGTCTTCAGACAAAACCAAAACTACTAGGAAATGTCGGAGAAAATATGAGCACGACGTGTACACACACCTAGTATTAATTAGTCAGCTGCAAGTACTTTTACTTGATCCACGTCTTATTAGCCTATGTATATATATGTATGTCTTTTGTGTTCCCTTTCTGCGCGCGGTCCAAGGG